TGAAATTAAAAATCACACTCATTTTTTTTTTCATCCCTATAACATATTAAAATAAACATTATAGAAGTTTTCAGGGACTTTCGGCCCTCGGTAATAATGTATTGTTTCATTCTGCGTTTAAATTTTTAAAAAATATTTATTAGTTTTCTGAGGATTCGAAAAAAATGAATGCATTTAAAAAATATTGGCCTGAAATTGTGTGCCTACGTTCTTAACGATAAAACTACCACGACCCACCTCTACTACTCGTTACTCGTGACCAAACAGACGTTGCCAAATAATTATTTTATATGAATATTTTTTAATGTGGCGTTATTGTATACAGTTTATTTCATATTGGGAATAAGGTACAATGTGACTTTAAAATAAGCTTATTTTGATGTTTAGATTTTTAATTCGGAAATCGTACTTAAAATACAAAACAATAATAAATTTTATTTATATAAAACGATTTCCGAAGTGGAAATCAAAATATTTTATTTCACTTATTGTAAAGTAAACTTGTGGCATATTCTCAATAAAAAAACAGTAAGCTGCTATTTAAATCAATTTCTCCCAAATTTGATTATCTGAGAACATTGTTCAACTGCAAAAAAGACAACAGCTCAAATAAAACCAATAAGTTTGGCAACGTTGAACTTCCCCTTTTTTATTATTTCCACGCTTGCATATTCGGCGATATAAAGGGCGGATCTAATATACCTCTTTCTTTCTAAATAGCTGTTTCTCACTCCATCTCACGTAAGGTCCATACCGACCATAAACTTTTTCCTACACTATATATATATATATATATATATATATATATTATATATATATATATATATATATATATGTATATATATATATATATATATTTATATATATATATATATATATATATATATATATATATATATATATATATATATTTATATAGCATTTTTCATATAAAAAAGCTTAAACGTCATTCAAGATTTACGTCGTCAGAACCCCACAACGTTGCCAAAACATCAGAATAGTTAGTAAGTGAGGAATTTTTAAAATGTCAACTATTTGTCAAACTATTATATTAACAGTAAATACAATTAGTTTTAAGACTACTGCAACACACTAAAATACGTAAGAAAGCATTTTAATACAAAATTATATGTTCTAAATTTTAAACTTACCTCTAGTTTTAGGTCTTTAATAGAAAAACGTCCTGCCATTATTTTTTGTTCAAAATAATATATCTTATATGAAACCTTATCAGCTTTCTACAGACTATTTAATTGTTTTGGCATAGCACAATCACAATACACAACAATAATGAGTTTTTAAAGCTATGAATCTAAATTTAATATGTATTTATAAATACAATTTATTAATATATATTATATTATGATCAAATTGTGTAAGAAATACTATAAAAAAGTACTACTCTAAAAAAGCGGCAACACTTAATACACTTTTGCCAGCCGCTGAACAGTCAAAAAATTTTGAAGTATTTCCGTATCAGTTGCGTACAACTGTCTAATACATTAAATTAAAATTATTATTTTGTGGAATATTACAATTAAAGAGTTATTTCATAAAATTTGTATTATTAATAATAATAAATGTTTTTGGTTATTTATTAATATAATTCTAAAATTTACAAAATAATAATGAATACATTTTTCTCATTATTCCACCATATTGACGACTATGAAAGATCGAGCAGTTCCGTATGGGTTTCGTATTATCAGCTGTGTTAGGAAAATTTGAACTCTAAGGTTGATGTTCTGGAAATTTTAAATACAAGTGGCATCACTCTGTAGAAATCGTCACTTGCAACATAGCACACTACCACCTAGCATTGAAACTTCCGTGTTGACGAATAAAACAATGATTGGCGCATCACCTAGTGACCGGGCGCCAAACTATATATGCATGGCGCGAAATTCAAAAGTTTAGTACCTGGGATTGTGAACTCATTTTAAAGTAAAGGAAAATCGATATAATCCTACAATTACAAGAAAAATCCTTATCCTATACGATAATAAATATTTGTCGTATACTTTTTGGGTTTTCTTGTTATGTTGAGACTATATTTATTTTACATTACATTAAAATGCCAAAGTGGTTAAAAAAATTAAAGAATAAAATATAGAATAAAATCTTTATTTATAAAAATGTTACAAGAAATGTGTTACAAGAAATATTAATAATAAAAGCCAAGTGTACTATAATTTAGTTTTCTTAATTTGGCAAGAACTGGTCAGTATTTAAATAATTGTTTTGTCTTAGTATGTCAAGTTTTATGTGAATAAAAGCCTAATTGTGCAAAAGGCATTTTACTACAATTTTATTCTCATAATTCGCAAAGAACTCAAACATTGGTATATAACATTCAAGATTTTTTTAGAAAGCAATGCAAGCAATTTTTAGATAAGCGAAGCAATCAATGGGGAAAACCAATTGCTTTTTTCACACATACTCTCACAGATTCGGAATGAAAACATGCAATTGAAAAAATGCAAATGCATTGAAGTATTAAAAAAATGCAGCCATTATCTGGTAGGAAAGCAATTCAAACCAATCACAGATTAAATCACTATTTTTTGTATATAGAATGCTGGCATATATAAAATCTGACAAGGAGAACTAGCTTTACTTCACAAGAATTTATTAATTATCTACACTCTAAAGGAATATTTCAAGTAGAACAACACCATATAACCATGAAGGAAATGGTTAAGTTGAAAGATACAATGAGTTATATGGAAATTGGTGAATCTAGCATTGAAAACCAAATATTTAGACATCACTAAATGAAAAACTGCTTTACCAGGAGCTCTGTACTATATACGAAGTTTACTATTGAATTGTTATATTAATGAATCATGATAATGATGAAGATGAAAGTCCAAATAACACATTAGAGAATTCCACTACTAAATCAATACCAGATGTGACAGAAAATTTACCTGTTCAAAAACCTGATGATTGGATTGATGAATGAACCAAGATTGGAAAATTCAGATTTTCAATCTAGCTGTAAATCAGCTGGAACTAAAAATAAACCAAGATAGTTGCAATATTTTGTTCACAAATAGGGACAGAAAAATGTAGTATAAGTGTAGTATATTAGTGTTCTAAATGTTGTGACAAGAACTTGTCAGTAATTAAATATTTTTTTTTAATTCTAATGTCAAATTAAAGCCTAATAAGCAACAGGCAGCCGTCAGACATTCTGAGTTCTTTGTAGTACCTACTTACATCCTAATCTAATAACACACACTACCAGCGGTCAGTGAGAACTCTTACTGTCTGGCGTTCTACTCACAGAAAGACAGAACTCTGCTAAGTTGGAAACAGAAAAATTAAATGATTTAGTTCTAGAAAGAACTTTATATACATTTATATGATAATATTTTTAGTCATATTTAAACCTATAAACCCAACAGTTAGCTCTAAGATTCTAAGATCCAGCACTATAAAGATGGAAAAATAACATTAAAAATAAAAAATATGTAAAGTATTACCTAGTTACAATAAAAACATGAAGTATTTTACAAAGTTAAGTTTCCAAACTCTATGTTACCAGTAACTCTTTTCTACTAATATTTATATATTTATTGAGAGACATATTAAATACATTTAGATTTAGGTTGTTCTACAAAATGGAACATTAAAAGTACATAGATGAGACAAACCATGGTAATATGGTACTCTAAGACCAATCTCACTCACAAGAAAGCACAGATCCCTCCTCGCACTTAACAGGCAAGCTTAAAGACCTCTCCATATGATAGTGTAGTCATGGTCTGCTAATCTAATCCAACTTTGAAAGGCGCACACCTGTAGAAATTCATGTCGAACCCTCTCTAAGGTGATGATTTTTAAGATAGTTGTTGAACCACCACCTACAAAATAATTCAAATTGTAAGCAAGTAAGACTGATTTTATAATATATAATTTTAGGTTAAATTTATAATTAACTAATTCTATAAGTAAAAGGTCACATGTCACATAAATACATGTATTGGCATAATAGTTCTTACCTGGTGCTGGTAAAAACAAACTCAGAAGGGCTGTTCTCGTAATACCGGTATGTCCAACATTAATTATATCGTCCTCTTTAAAATGACTAGCGCATACACGAAAATTGTTATAAATAGTTTCTGTTGCAGCATTCTATAATTAGGGCTCTTAATAACATTCACCCATTTGTCAAACATATCCATATAAGAAAAACTATATTGTTTGCCAGTAGTATCCATGAAATCTGAAACACATCTTTTTTGTTCAGTTCTTCGTCTCTACATTGTTATTCCATGTAATGTGTTCGAGTCCATAATAAAAAATCGTCTAAAATTGTACCTTTTTACACCACTGATATAAAAAATTTTAAATTATAAAATAAATTATAAAAAATAAAACAAATACAAATATGGCGCCGAATTTGTCTAAACTCAACTTTGAATTTTCCACAGCACACTCCCTCCGCGCAGGAAAGAGACTAGCAGCGCCACCATACGAATGGGCGCCAAATCCGAACATGATTTGGCCTTGGCTATCTCTGTTACCAATCTAGGTAAATTTATCTATGACTTGCAAGTGTTTTACTTTGAAAAATGGTATATGTATAATTATATATATATATATATATATATATTATATATATATTATATATATATATATATATATATATATATATATATATGAGCCCCTTAAAGCACAAGTGGTGTAACTCCATTTTCCGTTAATTTTAGGTAAGGTCTAAATCGTGTTCCGCAACAAGTATTTTATTTTAGCACAAATGGTGTAAGTTAATAACTCATATAGTAACCATGTAGGTAGGCAACACATTTTGCATTATCAGTGGAGTCAACTATCTGTTGACAGCCAAAGGTTGTTCGGTGGCCAAAGTGAAGTACAAGGTATATACACCACTGTTCCTGCAACTGTTTTTGTTTTCACAGGTGTTTGTGGATGTTAATTTTTAATACATTACGTTTCATTTGCATATTTAATTGTGTTTAGTGTAGTTTAAAATGAGTTTTTTTGATGAAGATAGTCTCTCAGAGCCAAGTCTATTCGCTGATAATGAGTCTGGCGATGAATATTTTCCAACACATTTCGATCAATCAAGTACAGGTAAGAAGTTATGTCATTTTTTTCAATGAAATTAATCTAGCGTTACGTTAAAAGTTGTTTTTAATAAAATGTTTTATTGAATCCAATTCGTATCCAGGCGCAAACTCGATAATAAATAATAAAACACTTTTATAACATATAAACTAAAATGAAGTTACATCAACATTTTTTTTATTTTATTTTAGAAGATGAGAGGGGATTTGATAACAATGGAGCAGAACCAATTGACAATGCAGCGGAAGAAGATAAGCCTAAACGATGTCAGAAACGGCAAATTAATAAAAACAAAAAAGAACAGAGAAAAAGACAAAGAAACTATGAGCAATCGTACACAACAAGAACAGGAAAAGTGGTTGCACAAAAAGTATTCAGTAATCCTGATTGCAATTGTCAAAATAGGTGTTTTCATAATATCCCAGAGCAATCCCGAAAAAATGTATTTGAGTCGTTTTGGAAGATGGGTTCTTTCGTCGCTCAAAACGCATTTCTGTGTGGTTTAATAAAACAAGAGACGCCAAAACGTTGCCGCCCGACCACAAGTGTTAAAAATAAAAAATCTGCCACTAATTTATATCACATATTAATGTTGCAGTTAATTGCTGGAAAAACTGAGACCGTGTGCAAAAAATATTTTTTGCAGACTTTTAAAATTTCTGATGGTAGGATGACTCCAGCCATGAAAAAGTTATCGCTTGGATTTTCCGCTGGTGAAGATAAGAGGGACAAAAAAATTCCTGGTAATAAAACATCCGAGGAGAAAATGTTAGAAATACGGAATCACATAGCATCCTTCCCTTGTTATCAATCGCATTACACCAGATCCCACAATCCAAATAGAAAATATTTGTCAGAAGATTTAAATATTCGACTTCTGTACAATTTATACAAAGATAAAGTTCATAGCGAAGGTAAGGAACCTGTGGCAGAGCACGTTTATCGTAGAACTTTTAATAACGAGTTCAACTTACATTTTCATGCACCTCACAAGGATACTTGTATAAAATGCGATATTTTTATTAATAAACTCAAACAATCACGAGAAGAACACGAAAAATCAAAACTTTTGCAGGACCATGAACTTCATCTACGCAAAGCTGATAAAGTTCGAGAATCAATGAAATTTGATACAGAAAAATCAGCTTCTAATAGATCCTACTATGCCTTTTCTTGTGACTTAGAAAAGTCTTTATCTTTCCCACGTCTAACATTTCAAATGGCCTATTATAAACGTAATTTGTACGTCTACAATTTAGGTTGCCATGAGCTTTCAACAGAAAAGGGATTCATGTATTGTTGGGATGAAGTAACTGGATCTAGAGGTTCGCAAGAAATTGCGAACAAACACGAGCGTCAGAAGCAAAACATGTTGTTATGTATAGCGATACACGTACCGGTCAAAACAGGAACTGGAAAATAGCCCTAACATTATTAAAACTGGTGTTAAGTGAAGACAACAATATTGAAATCATAGACCAAAAATTTATGCAAAGTGGTCATTCCTTTCTCCCAATGACTGTGATTTTGTAGAGTTTGATGGTAGTGAGATATTTAGTAGAGTTGCTTTCTTGTTTTTATAACAAAATCTTTGATTTTACTCCACATAATGTTTACATTCTCAGTGTTTTTCATTTTTGATGTTATTTAGAACTAAAAACTATCGGCTTAAGCAATGATAAACCAAATAAAAAAGGAACAAAGTATTCAGAAAAACAAACAAAATAAAGGAAGCTGATGGGAAAGATGCTGAATGCATTTGCAGTTGCTTATGGTCGCAGTCTACGGAGGGTTGGATACGATGTATAAAGTGGAAACGTTTATGCTGAGTTTACTTGTTAATGATTAAGTTTGTTTTAAGACATTTACAACAATTAAAAGTTTGTAAAAGGAAAAGAGAGTTAAGATTTAAGTTTACGAATTTAAAAGTTTTTATTTTGTTTACACAATGCCCCACCACTGTACGGGGCAAAGTAGGGTAAACTTCACTCTGCATGAGATTTGTTCGGTTAGTTAAACTGTAAATCCTTGAATATTAAATAGTTCGTCAATCAATTATAGATATTTTGTACATTGAAAAAAAACCTCCAGAGCAATCCTAATATCGTGATTTCCTGAAATATCAGGCTCAGGCATAGTAGGTATCTTAGGTACCCCACTATGTCCCCTCATCCCTAATTGGGTAAAAGTTTCGATGCACCGCGAATTAGTTCATATATTGTAACGTAAAGGTAATAGATTTTGATAAGAGCTATGAGTCATGGCGATGCAGTACACAAGTTTACTTGTTATTTACAAGATCATAGCTCTTGTCAAAATCCATTACCTATAAAAGCTAATTTTGATGTACCCCATATAACGGTTGCATATCTTAGAACGACAATGCGTGTTCGAGAACCTATAAGATGTATCGATCGGCTTACAGAGCGAGGTGTTCATACAAGCGTTGAATACAAGAATTGAAGTGGACTATTCCAGATGATTCTAGTAAATAAGTATTTTGGTATTTAAGGAGAGCTGCTCTTAGTTTTAGTTAGTTTATAAAAGAATATCGTACTGTAAACTTTTTTTATAAATATTTTATAAACTATTTATATAAATAAATAGTTTATATAAATAAGATCCGCTCGATTTATTGTTAAATACGTTAAAATATTATAGCACCAGAAGTAGATGTTGAAAGAATAAACGAACACTTAGTCTTATATTGCCTGTGTTTAAGTATATCTTATAATATTGTATTGAAAATAACAATGAGAATTTTGTATACTTTTTTGTAATTGACTGCTGAAGAACTCAGTTAATATTAAGATTAGTATATAAGAGTTTGGTTTTCCAATAAAACTTGGTAACATGTTAGTTTATAGTTTATCATGTCTACGATTAAACCTAAACCTCAAAAATTATTTTTGAACAATTTACATAGTGTTTTAATAATAAGTGTAAAATTTTAATATCTAGTTTGTCTAATATGAAAAAGATCAATCCTGGATTGCCACAATAATATTTTTTAAAGCAGTTCTGGCATCTGATTCTTGCAGTTCATCTAAAACCTCAAGAGCTGCCTTAGAATGATCTTTTTGTAGATTTTTTGTCATATCCAAAGCAGGTCCGTCTAAAACAACTTTTCTTACGGCCTCGAAGTCAACTTGTTCTATGTCATCCAAACCTATAAAATTAAATATTTCAATAAACAAAAAACAAAACAATATATCATAATCTAATTTATTTTAGGTATTTTGTTGACAAAAACTGCTCACAACTGATCTAACTATTACGACATGTGAACTGTGCACTCCTAAATTAAGCAGAAAGAAAAATCTCCACAATGGTAATTGAAAATGTAATCCGGCATATCTAAGGACACCATTTAATCGGCTAATGGTTCACACCTTTGCTCACCAATTCAATCAATCGATCTTTTACAAATTACAATTTTCTTTACACTCCTTTAAATTATTCAAAATGTTTTTTTATGAGCAATTTGAAATGTGTGTGAAAGAGTACATTAAAAGCACCAAGGCTTTTAAATTGCTACAAACCCAATAATGTGGTATGGACTTGATCATTGAAAGACTACTTAAAAACTAGCTAATGCTATCTTTGCTCGGCCTAGTCTCAACATATCATTATCTACAGTCACTAAATTGGACAAAGTAGCAATTATCTATGTCTGCACATCAAATTTATCTGTAACCTCTGTATACACACCTCCTGAGTAAGATTTCACTTTTACCGAATCTGACAACTTACTAGCACAACAACAATGTTAAAAGGCTGGAGCTATGAGTAGAGCAACTGATATACGATTCAAAAAATACTTCCCTATTCAACGCTACTAGGGGAAAGAGAGATATCCAGATAATATTTTTTTATCAAGAAAAATTTCAGCCAATTAAAAAATGATATTGGAAACAAATTCCGATGGCTTAATAAAAACCTATACTTAAATGTACTATGGACGTTGTAATAAAACTAAAGAAAACCATTTAAACAGGGATCCAATCCGGAACAAACAAATTGAAGAAAATTTGTTAGATTTTGATAACGATATTCTTAAAATTCTTTTAACATAACGGAGATTGTTTTCAGTAGAGATATTCTTCAAGGATATCCGGCTCACTATGTTTAAAGACTAACTCTATACTTCTTCCTATTACTCAGCCACTATCAAAAGATGGTGGAAAACACAACTTCTTAAAAATGGTAGAAAATATGTAAGAAAAAGCATAGAAAAACTTCAAATAAGAGAGGATTGAAACATTCAGTTGAGCGAATCTTAACGTCATGAAATTACTACACGTATTTATCACCTGCGTACTAAGCAAATTAAGAAGGCTTATCCAATAAGAAACAAAATACTCTGCATGTTCTCAAAATCATAAAAATAAGCCAAAGTTGTTGCCTTGCTTTAACCTAGCCAGGATGCTAACAACTCCAAAAGCTATCACCTGCTATCTTAGCTTTGTGACTAGTTGTGAATCGAATTTTATCGAGAATAGAATTTTATCGAGAAAAATATTTAAAAAACAAAATAGCTTTAAACCAGAAAGAGTTTGTATATTAGAAATACTGAATCTCACCTAACACATTCATCATCATCATTTTGGCTTTACAACCCTGTGTGGGTCCTAGCCTCCTCAAGAATTCTCTTCCAGTCGTCCCTATCCGTCGCCTTCCTCCGCCAAGCACGTATTTCCATATTTCTCAGATCTTGGTCTATGTTATCTAGGAATCTTGTTCTGGGTCTTCCTCTTCTTCTTTTACCAATAGGTCTATCAAGGAGCGTTTTTCTAGCTGGGTCGGTTTGCTCCATCCGCATTACATGACCTAGCTACCTCAGACGTCCTATCTTAATGTGTTTTACGATATCTGGTTCCTGGTATATTCTATAGAGTTCGAAGTTGTATCGTCTTCTCCAGACACCATTTTCATTTACCGCTCCATAGATTCCATAGATACCATTCGCGAGTATTTTTCTTTCGAAACATCCTAACATGTTTTCATTGCTTTTTGTTAAAGTCCAGGTTTCTGAAAAATATGTTAGGACTGGGCGTATTATTGTTTTGAAGAGTTTTACTTTTGTATTTCTTGATATAGCTGTAGATTTAAAAAGAAGATTAAGCCCAAAATAGCATCTTTTAGCCGTGCAAATTCTGCTGTTTATCTCTGTGGTAATGTCATTTTCAGTATTGACGAGCGTTCCCAGGTATATAAATTCGTTAACTGCTTCGATGACGTCGTTTTCTATAACAAGTGGCCGTCGTATTTGTGGTTGCGGACCTACTTTCATGTATTTCGTCCAACACATTAAAGATGGGTATTTAGGCATCCCGTGCTCTATCTAAATATCTTGTCGACGCTAATCACAACTTAAATCACAGGAGACTCTTTCAATAACTGTATTACATCCATCGAGCAAAAAGACAAAAGACGGAAGGTAAAGGTAGTGGGGGCAAACTTATTGTTAGACAGGAAGTGCGATCTTTAGAGGCCACATTAAACAAGGAAAGAGAGTCTTTCTCCTTGTTTGACATCAAATTTAGTTGGGTTATGTTATTGTTTGTCCCAAATGTCACATGAAACCTTATTTATATTGAAGTTTTTTAACAATTGTGTCGCATTTTAGACTCTTATCATTAATAATTAATTAAAACTTTCTCGTCTAAGACACATTCTGAAAAATATTATACAGCTACTGTTAATAAGTGTCGGAAAATTTAAATTTGGCGCATTCGCATTTCCGGATATGTCCGCCATCAGAGGCCACTTTTTTGGTCTCCTTTTCATAAGCGTTAGATTCCCTCTTTTGTCTTATTGCTCGATGATAACATCACAGCAGACAATAAACTCACTTTTTTACCCCATACAGAACAGAAACTAGGTCGCCCTTTCTACTGAAATAATAAAATATGAAAAATACAGAATAATGAACTTAAGTCAAGTTAAGTCCGTGTAATGGCACTTTGATTGTACAATATCAACACTAACGATCAACTCGTACCAGTAGATACTAGCACTTTTATCAAAGGCGACCAAATCAACCAAATTACAAAAAAATTTAAGTGTCCTCCTTCCTCCTTTGTAATGGAGACTTCGTTGGAGACGCAAAAAACTGAACATTCATTGATGTGGCAAAGCATTATGTTTCTTCCTTTTCTACCTTGGGGTTACCCTGTATTCCACTTTATCAACCCAAGAGGATTGTTTGAAAGTGGAAGGTAGACTACCAACCAGAGATAACATTCTCCACAAATGTGTTAATCAAATGTGGGGCGCACATCTTTTCACCCAGCCTATGAGGAACATAAGCATAAGTGTATATGTCAATAATTGATTTATTGACATATCGGTCGGTATTGTCGGTCAGATAGCCAAGCGGGCTGGGCGACCGGCTTCTCATTCGCTTCACTGCGAATGATGTGAGTTCAATATCCAACTCAGTGTACAGAAAACAAAAAGGCTAACGCAGCAGTTTAAAATTCTAAATGAATCTGCGGCTTAGACTAGAATATGCTGGTGTCTGATCTGCCTATGGTGGAGCAGTACGGCAAGAGATAAGGGCTTGCGGCTCGGTGATACTCCTCCATAGATCCCTATCGGAAGGGCGTGTGCCGCCTAAATACCGGGTATATATATATATATATATATATATATATATATATATATATATATATATATATATATATATATATATATATATATATATATATATATATCATTAGTATATCTCGGATACCCACGCCCATTACTAAGTCGTAATACACGCCCTATCGTTGGTATCGTATCAGCTAATATAAAAGAAGTTGCTAAATATGTAGAACGTAAGAAATAAATCGAAGACCCTTAATCCATGATTACCAGCTCACAGTACGAAGACAAATGAAGGAAAAGCTTTCTGACTGTTTATTACATTAAATATATACATTAAATATATAAGCGTTAATCGCACCATGACATGACGATGATATTGATCGTCTCTACACCTTAGGCAACCAACGATGCCCACATTAGTAGTCCGGGTTGCCTAACAATATCATTTAATACTTTCCAGTCCAATCCATCTATAAGATTCGCCAGAAAAATTTGATCGTAAATGAAAAAAAGCTGTCCTCGACATATAAAGCCTCACCTGGTAGCATTCTTCTCTATCCTGCATGAAAAATTATGATTCTCAAAAATGGGCCAAACTGGAGAAATGAAAACTATTTGACTCAGTTACCCAATGTGAAAGTGGTACAAGATCCAACACATCAACTTATCTCTTCTTTCTTATAAAGGAACCCCGACAGAGCATCAAGACCACTTTTTTGAAAAGCAATATTTAATTTGACAGAACGGAACACGTAAAGTAGAAGGTGTACCAATATATACAAAATGGAAGTAAAATATAAGGAATCTTTATTTATGATTTGACTCTATAGACCATGGAAGCTTAAAGTTATAAATCTCAAAAATCAAATCTATCATCATATCAGATGATATAGGTAATTTTTATAGATTTGGACTTTATCCCACATTTAAAATTTGTTAATCTATTACCTTTTTCAATCAGACTATACATGTCAGGGTTGTGTTGAAGGGCAAACAGAACGGGAGCACTAATTAGGCTAAAGGCAGCGCTAGATCCTGGAGAAAATGGTTCTCTATCCAGACAAGCCTGCCACGCAAGAGCTAAATGTTTCCCAAATAAATATCCTTTTTGTTGAAGTTCATACGAATGGCCTGCTAACTTTAAAGTCCCTTGACAAGATTTTCCCAATAGGCTACCTGAAGAAAATATTAAAATATTATAAAAGTTTTGGGTTCAGGGTAAAAATATTTTATATAAGCCTACCTGCATTTAATACATGTCGCAATGTCCATTCAGCTCTAGCGTTGCCCAAAGCTTCGCTGACCACCAAAGGCTCCATTGTGCTATCTACAAACTGCTCATATCCTCTTGCACTTCGCTTTGGTCTTGCAGGAAGAGGAGCGTTTTGGATATCCCTCGGTTCTACAAACTCAGCCTCTGCTAAATCCCTGACAGCGGAACTCATAAGTTCAACCAGTTCTTGATTTTTAAGATTGGCGAGCTCCACGCAGCTATTACTTAGGAGGAAGTCACCGGATAGAAGGGCTATCTTGTTACCGGATATCATGTCACCTTAAATAATGTTCATTTTGTATTTATATACCAGGATCATAACTAACAGAATAATCATAAACATTCAATAAGACGTAATATATAAGTCATATAATAACATTGTTATAAGATATTTTCTTGTAGTATCTTAATACAGTTTACCTAAATTCATATAATAACATATTGTTACGAACACGCATTCAGCGTGTCCCCGTATAGCGGCTGCATCTCGAAAGCGACTCGATGTTTCCAGAAACATCAGTCACGTACGCCTAGTGGTGGGAACTTTCTAGAAAATAGTAACTTTGGTATATATATGTAACGATCTTAGGAGTTAGTTTAGTTGATACGAGAGTACCGAACTGTAAAGTTATAAATAAATATATTTATATAAATTCGAACCGCTCGTTTTATTTAATCTCGCTACAATATTTTTCTTCTTGTAGGATATGGTCCTGTTAATTTTATAATCCTAGCTCTGGTAATGTTGATGTTTAGCTATCATACCACTAGTTCGGAGTCTTTCTAGTGGTGTTTTTGTATTGAGTTGTGTGTTTTTACCTATTTCGCGATTCTTCTTGGTTCCATTCTGTCGACATGATCTCTCCATTTCCGGTGTGATGCTCGTGTCCATATGACTACATCCCACATCCTAGGCACCAGTTTCTCTTAATGTATTCTCATTCCTTATTATATTTCTGATAGAAATTCCTCTTACAATGCTTAAAACTGTTAGTTTTGTAGTTCTCATCAATCTTTTGTAGGCGATGTTTCAGCCCTTGTTTCTTCTGCGTATGTTATGATACTGTACTGATCTTATACATGTTTTATATATCTGGATTTTGCTTTCTAGCCTCATAAATTTCTTCCTCCATATGACATCCCTTAAGTAGATCGATATTGTGACTACCTTGTTAACTTACTTTTCACTTCCTCTGCAATATCATACGATAAATATATTCTGAGGTAGTCGAAATTCATGACTTCTTCAATTATGTTCAATTTGTAAAGTAGGCGCTGCAGGTCATCTTCATTTTCTGCCATGATTATTGCATCATTCGCAGAGCAGAATATATTCAAATATCCGTTTCCCATTTGGTAGCCAATATTGGTTTTATTTACGTTTTCTATTATCTTGTCCATGATCATGTTGAAGAGCTATGTATTTTTCATTGAGTTTTTCTGCTTCATGATTTGGATTACGTCTTTCATATGGACTCTCTCAAACGCCTAAGTAAGATCCACAAAGCAGATTAAAAGCGGTTTATTGAACTCTATCGACTTCTCTACTAGTTACCGTAATATAAAGATGGCGTCGGTTGTAAATAATGAATCCTTGTTATTCTTCTGATATGCCTACGGTGTTAATTAACCTCTGTGATATACGGTTTTTGTTAATAATTTTGATGTAAATCGGAACAGCGTTATTCCTTTGTAATTATATCCGTCGGTTTTAGTTATTTTTGTATATTGGTATTATTATGCTTGTTCTTCATTCCTCTTGCATGGTACCATATCTTACTATCTATCTTACTAAGTATCTATCAATTCTGACACGATTTCTAAGCTAGAGTATTTTAAGGAGAATATTTTAAGATAGAATAGAATAGAAGAATAGAATCTTTAGATTCGAATATTTTAAGTGGCAGATTAAGGATGGAAGAGTGTTACGAACCGATATTGAAATAAATCAAAGATGGTATGAGTACTTTAGAAAGTTGCTAAATGACGAACCCCAGAGGAGAGATAGAAGATGCGTGATCCCAAATAAGAATGTAATACCAAGAATAGCATGAGATGAACTTGTCGATACGTTAAATAGGATGAAGAATAGTAAGGCAGTATGACCACACAAAAGAGATTTCAACAATAGAAAAACCGATTCTGCGTACGCACTTCATCTTTGAGATCATAATCATCATTCTTTTAATAAAATGATATATGGTTGTTTGCTCGAATATGTGAATTTTACAACTAAAAGGCAGATATCAAGCATAGTTTTTATTAAATCTTGCTCAAGTACTTTCGCCCACGAAGCATCTGCAGGAGCATCCAAAATAAGCCAAGAAACGTTTATTTAAGTGAGAGAGAAAAGTAGCAAACTTCTAAAAAACTCAAAAGAAATGGGCCAATAAAAATTATACAATATTTTAGACTTACTTCGTCAAAAATTGTTGACTACTGAGCACGTCAATGAATCTTATAAACATTTAAATACATTTACACAAAAACTTTAAAAACAAATAGTTTAAAAATTGTTTCAATGATACATTTTGGGCAATAGGAGACAGAATGGCTCCTAGTCTTAACCTTAAACAAGAAAAGAGATAGGACAGGTAACTTTCTTTTAACAAACCTTCGTAAAGTGAAGCCAATTTCGATGTGACCGCCATGTTTTGGTGCCTGTACGTTGCCCATTACTACCTCTCGCAGGGTTACCAGGTCTACTGATTTCTCAGTAGATTTGCTGGTTTCAACTTTAATTTACTGATACACTATACCGATCTACTAAAAAATATTACTCCAGTTACTGTGGCATTTTCCCTTCAAATTTTTTATAACTGCACCGATTTATCTGAAATTTTTACAGTGGGTAGTAAATTACTCAAAAAACATAAGTTATATGGTGTTGATGTGTGCTTCTACCCCTGGGGTGGTTAGCACCCTATCTAGGGGGTTGACTTTTTACACTCAAAATAACCCCGGAATTGATAGAGAATCAAATTTTAAACAAAAAATGTCATATAAATTTTTTCGCTAAATCAATACTTTTTGAGTTATACGCACTTGAAAAAGTAAACTTTTCGCAAAAAAAAAATTTTCCAATGATTTTGTACGAATAACTCAAAAACAAAGCGTTTTATTAAAAATCTATAATAACCAAAAATAAAGCTTATAAAAAAACAAAAAGATTGTTTTTTTATTAAGTTTTATAAGTAAAATACTAAGCGATTTATAATTGTTTGAAGATGACTTTTTATTTTTGGGATAATATACTCGATGCATTTAACATCAAATATCGGAAAATGGACATCTTTTTTGATAAAAACTCATACAATACTTTTTAAATAGCTAGAAAAAACCTTTAAAATGAGCTATGTTAAAAGCCATTTCGATTAAAACAAAGCGAAATACGAAATAACGAATTTAAATTACTCTAGCGTTAAAAAAACGAGCAGTATAAGTAACACTATTTCGATCAGAATTGAAATTAAACGTATATCTTCTACAATTCATTTTTTTTAGTGTTATTTATAAGTTTTAAAAGTTTAGCTAGTTTAAAATGCGTATTTTTTTAAAAAATCATGTTTAAATTAAAAAATCTTTTTTTTTAATTATCTAAAAATTTACATTTTTCAAAATAAATCTAATACTATAAGAGATACGTGAAAATGGTGTTATACCAAAATGTAGTTTTTTTCTTAACAAAAATTTTGATTTTTTTATTTTTGTTGTAGCTCAAAAAATAATAGAGATATACCCAATTATTGAAGTTTGAGATATAGCGGCTGACACACCTGTAATCAGCATTTTGGCCCTTTACTATTTAAAAAGAAAGAATTTTAACATATTTTATTCTACTTAGTCTTGTAGCTTTTGAAATTACCTTCAAAATATTTTTTTAATGGATACTGTAGCTTAAAAATTTACGGAGTTATTCTAAAAAAATTTGGAGCATGTTATTTATATTTTGGAGCATCAACTTATTTTCTGTATATATAAATGCTTTATTCAAGTATATTCGAAAAACTGGTAACAGACACACTATTTATTTTCTTAAATTAGGAAAGTTGCATGTAGCTTCAGTAGTTTATTCATCAAAAAGTTTTGCATCAGAATACCCAAATTGTGCAAAGCTAATACTTTTTGCTCATTGCTTTACTGGATGTGATGGTACGTCAGCATTTTATAATAAAGGGGAAAAAATTCATCGATTTCTTAGACAATCGGTCTGATTTGAGAGAAAAAGCAGAAATATTTTATGATAGTACTTCAGATCTCGAAGACATTTTAGAAGCTGGCAGACACTGTACAATTTTGCTGTATGTCCTTGCCAAAGACACCCACATGAACAAAATGAATAAGGTCGAAGATTATTCACCATTACTTGAACAAATGCAATACGAATCCTTTATTAAAGCCACAACTAAAAATAGTGCAGTTAAATTATCCTCTCTTGTACCAACTGTAAGTGCCCTGGATGAGCATATCAAAATAGTTTATTTACAAACTCAGATATGGCTTGGAAACAAAGAGATTAATATAATGGATTGGGGATGGTTCAAGAGTGATGATATTTTACAACCAATTTCACCTGCACCAGAAGAACTATTAAAAATGATTTTTTGCAATTGCAAAAAGGGTTGCGGCTCAGCGTGTGGCTGTCGTAGATTAGGTCTATTTTGCAATGCTACGTGTGGAACATGCTCTGGCGACAATTGTCAAAACTGCTCTGCAATAGACGAAGGTGGAGTTAGAACACGACGAGAATGACGTTTCAGACAATGAATAATTTGATATATTGTAAATAATTTTTATTTTTGTAAATATATTTTGTATACTTTCTAATGTAAAGTATTTTCATGCATAATTTTTTACAATAAAAAATCATGAGTATACTTATTTTTTTTATTTAGACATTTACCAAAGGGGAATTTGTTTCGTTGGCATAGATGTGGTTTTTAAGGGTTGAGAATAAGCAACCAATCAAAAAATATTTTATTGATAAGAAAGGAATTTTTGAATATAAATGTACATTAAAATCTTTTGAAGTTGTTTAAAAAGATTTTTTTATATATTTTGAAATAGGGGGTAGTTTTTAAGGATTGAAGTATTGCAATCAACTAAAATAATTTTATATAAGTAGAGAATTACATTGTAGATGATATTAATGCACTATAAAAGCGTTGGAACCTGTTGAACGATTTTTTACAATTATTTTTATTAAAAGGGGTGGATTTAAGATTATTTAAGGGTTTTGTTTTCATTATTTTTAATAAGGGGTGATTTCACCCCTTAAA